TCATAGAATTTTGACTGTGAATAGAACCGCAAGCCTTCCTCATTCTCCCTCCCTCCTGATGCCAGGTGCCTTGAGTATTTTCATGTTGAAATAACTTATTTGATTATAAATAGATTTTTTTCTCCTACTCCTCTTTTGTAATACAGTACATTATATTGATCTTTGCTCTTGAAAATGCATGAGTATCTGGAGTGTAAAATCTGTACATTTTATTGTAGTTCCGCATGGGAATATTATAAAATATTTGTGGCTTAAAAAGTAGGGCATGGAGTCTGCTGTGTGCATCGCAGATCCTGTTTCCCACAGATGACCTATGCCTGTGCAGTCCATCTCACCCTTCGACACTCCTTCAAAGCTCTGCTGGAGGCATCTTGGCTGAAGTCACCATGTCGCTTCCCCAGGAGACATGCCAGAGTTTTTGTAAGTTCCTCCACTCCCACAATCATGAAATTCCCAAGAAAGGAGAAGGTCTTTGGACTTCCCAGGGCCATTGATAAGGATGCTCTGCCCACAACAAGACCTCAGGAACCCCACAGAGCCCTTCACACTCCTGTTGAGACCCCATCCTTTCCCCATGGCACTGCTAAGAGATGCCTCCATGTTTAATGCCAAGGAGGCAGCTCTCCTACAGGAGGCTGTAGGTCTTCTCCTAATCATCCCAGGACCAATCCTATCATTCCTTTGCTCTCTGGTCTCCACCAGAGGCTTCAGTTTCTCCGTTTACCAATTACTGCTCTAGCATTTGTCTCTAATATAGTGACAAATGTTTCCTAGCCTGATGCATCCCCCTACATGCTTCAAACATCATGTGACACATAGTCTGTCTTCAGTAAACTTTCCTCCCTCCTCTTGAATGGCTTCCCTTCCCTCTTCTCCTGTAATGGGGTGGCACCTGCTCTTCTTTCAGTCTGTCTACCTCTTTCTCATGCTCCTGCCTCCACAACTGGAGCTACTCCATAGCCACGATCTTTCTTCCTTAAGTTGCTGTGTCAGGTGTTTTCTTAGAGCAATGAGAAGAGGAATATGTTGATCTGTGCTTGGCACACAGCTGATATATCTGCACATATGTAACACGAATGACTTGACTGTTCGGTCTTTTTCTGTATCCTTACTCTTTGCCCTCAGTGTTTGATGCTATTGTCACTGGTAACCTTGAACCTGGTCTAGCTTTAGGACTTCTTTTGGCCACTGGGGAGTTGACAGCTATGACACCGGCATAGATTTGAAAGACGCTATTATGGTGTTGTCTTTGAATATGAACTGTCTCCCTTAGGCTCACGGGTTCGAACCCTTGGCCCCAGCTGCTGGTGCTCTTCTGGAAGGTTATGGAACCTTTAGGAAGTGGAGCATTGGTGGTGGAGCGGGGTCACTGGATGCTGGCCTGCTACAGCCTGGCCTTACTCACCGTCCACTCTCTTCTTCCTGACTGTGGATGGACTGTGACCAGCTGCCTCTGGCTCCCACCACAGTGCCTCCCTCACCTCACGCTGTGGTCCAAACTAAAGTTCCCTCCCTTAAGCTGCTTCCCTGTCAAGTACTCGGTCACAACATGAAAAAGAAGCAACACAGATGCACTTGTCTTCCCTCTGCACACCACTATTCCCAAGAACATGCTTGGGCAGGCTACAGAAGGAGGAACGTACATGTGGAGCTGAGCTGAGCATCACTGGCCTTCCCTGAAGCCAGATTAGATGACTTGGCAACTAACTGCTCACACTTAAGATGGGATCCGTTCAAGAAACAGACAAGCCCAAACCAGCTGGATGCCATCGTCTATCGAGTGGGACAGTAATTCATTATTACAGACCAGTGGAATCTTAGGGATGCTTCTTACACAGCACTAATGTGGCAATAAGTGCCTGATACAACTGGGGCTCAGGAAATAAACACTGAATGTCCACAGGGGAATGGAGTTTTTTACAGTGGGTAGACTTTTTTGTTCAGCCTGGTCTGTGTCTTGACTTACTGATTTGACCACTTGCCAAGTTAGTAGCCAGGGACAACCCTCCACTCTGTCTTCTTTCCTCCCTTACAAGCAACGAATAGCTCCGGAGTCATCCAGTTCCACACATAATCTCTGGGATCTGGTTTCTCCAGTCCATAGTTCTGAGCACATTTTGTATCAATATTGCGACAGCTTCCTATTTGAAATCTATGCCAATCATTTCTTCCTCACATTCTCCCCACTTCTATTAGTTTCATTAGCTTCCAAATCAAATATGAATTATAGTTATATCAAGACTGAGAGGTCATTTCAAAATACTTCCTTCCCAAGTTACCTTTCAAAACACTTAAGAAACAACTTTTTAAAAATAGAAAGGAAGTAGCCTGTGTTATATATGGCAGGGTGAGGGGACACAAGAGAAAATACACGAGAGGATTGATTGTTATCTATCTGCTGCTAAATGGTTCATTTACAATATCCTACTGTGCTTGTTCCCTTGACCCAATCTGGTATCAACTAAGATATCCATGTAGGTGGGTCTGAGAGGCCATGTCCAGAAAGGATTAAGCAGGAGAAGTCCTTCTCCCAGAGTGCTAGCACCTCCCAACAGGTGGCCCAGTTAGAAGAGACATGAGTTGGGCCTGCCTGACTTCGATTCTTGCTGCTGCTGCTGCTGCTGGTGCTGGTGCTGCTGCTGCTGCTGCTGCTGGCTGGCCTTGGCTGACATCAGAACGCAGCGTCTTCAGCCTTCCGCTGTGGACTGAAGATTAGAAACCCTCTGAGTATCTTCCAGGCCTACAGTACCAGATTGGGACTGCTGAGGAACCGAGATTTGTGGACTGAGCCGCGACTGGGTTCTCAACTTCTTTGATGTGTAGACAACCATTGCTGGACTACTGAGCCCCTACCATGTGAGCCATTCTAGGGGATTCTCAATATGAAATGAAATGAAATGATATGATATGATATGATATGATATGATATGATATGATATGATATGATATGATATGATATATACTATGTATAACGTTAGATCTATTTTTCTAGGGATCTGTAATATTCCTTATATAAACTATTAGGACTGTTAAAGGTAAAATCACATGGCTCTAACATCATCTTTGTGTTATGCTGTTCTTACTGTTGCCTTCCTACTTACAAACCCATGGTTGAACCCATAGTGTCAACTACCATGGCAGTTAGCACTGGCCTGTAGTGAGCTTTCCTTATCATGCCTTCATTAATAGCTGGGATAGTAGTAATAAATTATCATAATGCTTCGGAGTTATAATTTGGTGCTTCTTCCATTTAAACATTTTTATTGGTTCAGTTTTTCATTGACAATTTCATGCATTTATACAGTCTCTTCTGTTTACTCTTACCCCCGGCCCTCTCCTGTCTCCCTCCCACCCTTGTGTGTCTCCCATTTGCATTCTAATTTTATCCGTGGATAAATTTTTAATGCAAGAGATGGGGAGGCTAAATGAAAAGTATTTGTTTCTCTGGTGAGTCTGGCTTCCTCCCACCCAGTGTTTTCATTAATGCACTGATCTTGGTTACAGCTCCGTCCCCCACATCTAACCTCACTCCTCTTAATTAGTTGGGATTATATCTGGCTGCAAACAGCAGAGAATCTGTTTGTCACAGGCGTAGAGAAGAACTTCACCACTGTTCCTAATGAGAAGCCCTGAGCTAAGCGGTGCAGCGCTGGTATATGGATCAATATGTTGAAGGGAATGATCGTCAGTAGGCAGAGGCTCATCTCACAGATGAAAGAGTTCTTCTGCTGCCTTCTAGGCCTCTTGTTTGCTTCCAAGAGTGTGGAACAAGCATCACAAAGCAATTCTTCTTGTTGCCTTTTTTGTATGTATAGGTATGTGCATGTGTGTGTTGTCTGTTCATGTTCATGTCCATGTGTGCATACATATGCATGTAGAGGACAAAGGTCAGCTGCTGGGTATCTTCCTCCATCACTCCTCACTTTTGAGACCAGATCTCTGAACTTGGAACTCATCAGTTTGCCTAGTCTGGCTGGCCAATGAGCTTCTAGGTGTGTCTACCTGTCTCTGCCTCTCCAGCACAGGAATTACAGGCACACACCAGCCTGCCTGGTTTATTATGTGGGTGTTGGGGATCAAACTCAGGTCCTCCCAACCTTTGTCTTTTTTAATCTAGGGCAAGAAGTTTGATCTAGAGGTTTCCTGCCCCACCTCACTGCCTGAAGTCCTAAGGTGGCCTGTACTCCCTGGAAAGGAGGCTGGAACATTGATAGCATCACGTGGGTAGGACAAAGAGAAGGGGGGTGTGGATGGCATTTACATGGGTCATCTATAGTGCTTGTCATAATCTCTGTCCCTACTTACTACCCCATCCTGGAGGTCTTAACTTAAAGCCATCCATTCAAAGAATGTGTGTTTTCTATACACTTTGAATGCTCATACTCCCTACCAGCTGTTCAAAGAGTCAAAATTATATACTGATCTGAAAAAAAAAATCACTGGATTCATGTCATGGGTTGAATCTGGAATGCTCCCTCCCTACCGACTCCTGTTCTGAACACTTGTCTCCCAGCAGGTGGTGCTATGGAGCAGGTGGGGGTCTGGCTGGTTGGAGTGGGTCATTAGGGGTGGGTCTTTGAAGGTTTGGACCTGTTTTGGTTACAGCTCCCCTCCACTTTCTGCTTGTGTTGATGTGAGGAGTTTTCACCTTGCTGTCTCTAACACACTGAACGGAAACCTCTGAAACCTGGAGCCGAAATCGATCTTCCTCCCTCACATGGTTTTATCTGGTGTCACCGTCACGGCCATGTAAAAAGTCGCTGAATAAACATTTGATTAGTATCAGTGGTTCCCACTCAACTGTGAGGGCTTGGCTTGTGGGCAGAAACTCTTGAATCTTACTAACTTGTATTCTTGGGATCAGGGTGTGTATTTCATAGTTTGGACAAACATTGAGATCCAGGGTTGGGGCTGTGGCTCGAGGCTTAAGGCACTTGCTTTGCAAGCATGTGGTGCAGAATTCAGATGCATAGAAAACATGTGAGTGCCTGTTATTCCAGCCTCAGAAGCTTGATGTAGCCTCTGGTTTTGATGAAGAGACCCTGCTTCAATGCATAAGGTGGAAAAGGGATGGAAGACGATTCCCATCGTCAACCTCAGGCTTCCACACATATGTAAGTACACCCCCACATGTGTGCCCACACACATGCATACATGCACACACATGTGCATACCACATGTATCCATGAAAAATGGAAAAGAAATAAACAAATATGGAGATCAACATTTGCATAGTGTAGATATTAGGAGGCCAGAATAACCAAGCACCTTTTCAAAAGCAAACCAATGACGAAATTACCAGACTTCATCTGTCAATAGCACGTTGGAAGAAAATACCCTACATGTTACAATGATTTTTTTAAAGACACACCTAAGGCTTATTTATATTTTTTATTCAAAAATATCTGATTGTTTGCATTATTCATATTGTTTACGGGAAAAGAGAGCTGCAAAAAATAAAACCTAATGCATTAATGTTAAAAAAAACCACAAACAACTCTGTAATCCATATTCTCCTCCACCCCTCTACATGTTATTATTATGATCTGAAATAGGCAGTTTTATTAATCACAGGCTTGTGAAAGCTCTTACAAAAGGCACATCAAAGCTGAAAAGGCTGTGCTGTTCTACTTTGCTTTGTATCATGGATTTGGTTAAAATCTATGTCTGCTCCTGAGAAAGCTTCTCTCCCAGGATGTGGCAGACAAAGGTAGCACCTGGGGTTAAGCTCCCTCCCTTGCAGAAGAGCAGCAATGTTACAGAAACTCTGATGAACAACTCCCTGCTTCTGCCCCAGTGAGGATGGCTTCTGAGGTGATCCTGATGGGCAGGGAGTGTGTGGTGTGAGGTGAGGCGCCATGCCAAGCTTACACCAAAGTCTGCAAGAGGATGAGGTTCTCAGCCTCCTGTGCAGACTCGGCTCCCCTCGGCTTTCTGAGTCAATAACTTACTGTGTTATTTTTTTTCTCTTCTCTCTGCTTCACTTGAAGACTCAGAAAAGCCCACGCAGTTGTGCATCATAAATAAACAAGAAAAGAAGGAAGTGATATTATTTAAGAAATTATTGGGTGAGAAGCTTTTTACTGAAGTTCATTTTATTTTACCTAACAGAATCAACTCTAGGAAGAATTCATTTCACTTATTCATAGCCCCAGCAGTGAAATTTGAAAAGACAATATTAAAAAAAGGAATGTATCTGCCAGTTGTACTTCACTGCAAAGATGTCCAAGCATAAATAAAAAATTAATGAGCAGAGTTAGCAGTGTTCTCAAATAACAAAGCCTCAGACCAAACAGCATTTGTTATAGGAATGCTAAAACAGTTGAGAAGTAAGAAATTAGGCAACAGAAAAATAAGGGGGAGGTAGATGCCCATAAGACAAATGGTAAATGAAATATCAGGATCTGCACTCAGAAACACAGAAAGACAAGTAATTAAAAATGATAACAAATCTTTTAAAAGGTGGGTGAGCTGGAGAGACAGTTCAGAGGTTAAGAGCATATACTGCTCTTCCAGAGGACCTGAGTTTGGATTGCAGCACTCACATGGGGCCGCTCAGGACAACCTGTAACACTAGCTCCAGGGGAATCTGATGCCCTCTTCTGGTCTCTATGAGCAACTGCACACACACACACACACACACACACACACACACACACACACACACACACACATGCTGTGGGATGTTCTGTATGTTAAATGTGTTGCTCTGATTGGTTAATAAATAAAACACTGATTGGCCAGTAGCCAGGCAGGAAGTAAAGGTGGGACAAGGAGAGAGGAGATTTCTGGGAAGTAGAAGGCTGAGGCAGAGAGTAGCTGCCAGCTGCTGCCATGACAAGCGAGCTGTAAGGTACCGGTAAGCCACGAGCCACGGGGCAACTTACAGTCTAATAGAAATGGGTTAATTTAAGATATGAGAACAGTTAGCAAGAAGCCTGTCATGGCCATACAGTTTGTAAGCAATAAAAGTCTCTGTGTGTTTATTTGGTTGGGTCTGAGCAGCTGCGGGACTGGCGGGTGAGAGAGATTTGTCCTGACTGTGGGCCAGGCAGGACCAGGAAAATTCTAGCTACACACACACACACACACACACACACACATCACATCACATCACACACACACAATTAAAAATAATAAAAATAAATTCTTAAACACCGAGATCTCATGAAATCTCTTAGTAAACTGGGAGTGAAATTATATCATTAAAAAATATCTATCAGAAACCAAAAGAGACAGGGATTTTAAGACAAACATTCTGGTAACAGATAAGAAAAAGATGCTAACACTGGCCAGTTTTAATTAATATTTTTCTGAAAGAACTAGTAAATAAAGGACATAGCAAATAAAAACAAAATAAGAGACTGGTGACTGTAAACTATATCACAATCTTAGGGAGACCTGGGGAAAATCAGTAGCACTCTAGCTAAAGCACAGTACTTATTTCCTTACAGGGCTGTTAAGTATTGTAGGATCACTAGCTTTCTAATAGACTAGCAATAATCCATTAGAAAAAAGTAGGAAAATTGTTGAATTGCATTTAGCAACCAAAACTGTTAAATTTATATATGAAATATTCATAATTTATAAACATGATATAAATATTCTATTTTTAAAGATCTGTTTCTTTCTTCTACGTGTATAAGTGTTTGCATGTATTTATGTGCACCACATATGTGCAGTGGCCGTGGGAGGCCAGAAGAGGGTGCTGAGTGCCCTGGAATTGGAATTACATTGGTCCTGGGAACCAAACTCACATCATCTGCAAGAGCAGCCAGAGCTCTTGACCACTGAGGCATCTCTCCAGACCCTGAGTATATGAAAATTTTAAGAAAATGCACACTCTTCATATGAAGAAACCTATAAAGATGATGCACTACATGTGCACCTTGAAAAGCACCTGAAGTGCTAACAGTCTCCTCCAGAGGTACTCTGCAAATGTACCGAGTCTAATGCATTTCAGGGAAAATTCCACTTGGGCTTTTAAGTAGGAATATTTTATTCATTTATTATTAAGATAAAAAATTTAGTAAGCGTACAAAGAAATAGGTTTCACTGTATTGTGATGTTTTCATACATATATATCATTAACCACTCCTCCATCTGTCTCTTTTCCCCTTTGCTACTCCCCCTGTGTCTCCTAACCCTGTCTGCTTTCTTGATATACATATTCCATTACCTTCTCTGCCATTTCCCCACTTAGACCTTTTCTTCCCTGTCACAACCTCAACAGGGGTGTTTAAAATAAACCCAGAGTCTATAGGAAGGATAAATGCATGTCTCATGTGAATTTAGCATAGATAGACATATTATATGTTCTTTTCCACATGTGAAAACTGAAAATGAGAACTCACTTGAAAGCAGAATACTGATTACTAGGGCCTGGGCAGAGTGCAGAGGAGAGGGTGGAAGGAGCGTAGCTGAATGTGGTCAATGCATCATGTATCCACACGTGGAAACATCGCATGAAATTCCATTAATATGCATAATTAGTATATGTTAACAAAACAGTTTGCTTAATTAAAAATATAGATCACCCAAAGATGAGCAAAATTCAAGGTAGGACAAAGGTAATATCTCAAATAAGTATGGAAATTATCATTCAATAATTCTATAGCATTTTGGAAAAGAGGTAAGCTGAATTAAATTACTGATGGGTAGAAAACTGAAGACTTTTGGAACCATAGCATGAAATTATTTGTGCACATTTATTTACTTTTAGATCAAGGAAGGTTTTCCTAAGCATGACACAAAAGAGAGAAACACTTTTTTTAAAGGCAAATGTCATAATTGTATAACCACTTTATTTAGAGTGATCATTAAAGAAGAAATTTAAAATGAAATAGGAAACACGGGACTTTTTGCATGGTATGAAAGTTAAAGGGTAGATCCTTAATCTAGAATGGGTTCTTTAAAAAAGAAGATTTTAAAATTGGCTATGTAACTGAGGAAAATAAAAGTAATAAATTTATAAAAAGATAATTATCCATAAGAAGTGCATTTTACATGTGAAGATGTTTTGTCTGAACGTGTCCATGTGCCTCATGTATGCAGTCTCCATGGAGGTGAGAACAGGGTATTGGACCCCCTGAAAATGGAGTTTAGCATCCAGTGGGTACTGGGAACTGAACCTGGGTCCTCTGCAGGAGCAGCTAGTACTCTTAACAGTTGAACATCTCTCCAGTCCCTAAACAACATTTTAAATATTTGCTATTGGGGAAAAAAAAGACACAGAACATGTTTAGAAAATAGCTAAAGCAACACTCCTGTGTGCTGTATAGAAACAGTCTCCTTCAAGCTGCTGCTCAGTTGTTTAGATATTCCTAATTTAGTTTTGATTAAGCTGAACAAAGCATAAGTCTGAAAGTGTTTAACATTCTGAACAGACTTTTCTCTGAAGAATTTATCCCGATAGTCATGTACACAAGCAAGTTCAGTGAAAACATTGACAAATTATGTACTGTGTCAAAGAACTAAAAACACCATTAAATTAAGGATAAAAAATCATTTAAATGGTGGTATTTTCCAAACATCCAACATAATTTTGTGGAAAATATTTATTGCACGAAATATTTCTTATGTTACTTTGTGTCATGGTTCATCTTTCTCGATCTTTTCTCCAAATCAACTTGATTGGATTTGGAGTCACCTAGGAGACACACCTCTGGGAATGTCTGTGAGAGTGTTTCCAGAGAGGTTTAAATGAAGCAAGATGACCCATATTTAATGAGGGGGGCAGCACCCCATACGCTGGGGTACCAGATTGAATAAAAAAGGGAAAATGGAGAAAATGAGCTGAGTACCAGAATTCATCTCTCTCTGCTTTCTGACTACAGACAAAATGTGACCAACTGCCTCATGCTCCTGTTGTCTGCCACTCCTTCCTGATCATGATGGACCATGCCTTCAGACTCAGAGCCAAAAGAAACCCTTCCTCCCTTAAGTGTCTTTGCCAGGTATTTTGTGACATCAGTGAGAACAGTAACTGATATATTATGTGAAATTAAAAAGTTAAAAATATATACTGGATGACTGCTATAGTTTGGATCCTGAACGTCTCCTAAAGGCCTATCTGTTAAAGCTTTGGTCACCAGCCTGTGCTCTTACTGGGAAGGGGTGGAAGCTTCAAGAGATGGGGGCCTAGTGGGAGGAAGTGAGATCAAAGGAAGTCTGCGTTGAAGGGCATATTAGGACTGCACCCACCCACCCACTGCCTTGAAGACCACAAGCTTCTTCTACATTGTGCTCCTGCTGGGATGTTCTGTGTGAGCCTGTAGTGACAGCCTCAAGGCAAGGGGGGCATGTGACCATGGAGTGACTGATGCCTCTGATGCCATGAGCCAACACTAACCTTTTCTCTTATTAAGTTGGTTATCACCAATGTTTTGCCATGGTAATGGAAAACTGGCTAAGGCAAGGGCTCTAAATATGGAAATGATCCCACGCATAGAAAAACTGCTTTGGAATGAAATTTCTAAGGATTGGTGATGGAGGCACTTGGACTCACAGAAGGTTTGATTTGCTTTTGTTTCGCTGCATACTATAGTTGTTGGTAAGTTGCCAATTCTTTTGAATATATCTTTTGAAAAATCTGTGATTTTTATGGCATAAAACAGGTACATTAAGAGAGACCAGGAAGAAATTTGAAGTTTTGCAGATGTTGTTAAAGAATGAGCTATTTTTTTTTTCCTTAGAAAAAATAGCTTATGTTCATACCTCGATAATGAACAGCCTCCAAGAATCTTTTCGGCATTCTTATGGGCTCATTTGCTTAATGAGAACACCAGTAATTTGATTTTTTATATTGCTGTGTAAATGTTTTGTACATAACGGCTTTTGTTTTTTCACCTGCTCTATCTCTGTTTTTCAGTCACTGACATTTATTGAATCTGTGTTGTTTTCTCGAAGCAAAGGAACGACTAGGAGGGAAGACAAGGAGTGTTTTGTTTAGGGAGAGACAGAAAGGAGAAGAAGGAAGATGCAGACAAAGGGAGAGGAAGAGGAGAGAGAAGGGGAAAAGACAAACCCTGGCAGAGAGCCCAGCTCTCGGAAAACTGGCCTCACCCCAGGACTGGTGAGCAGCACGCTCCACTGATGAAGGTGCAGGAGAGCTGAAGAATTAACTCTGCTCCCCCAGCAGGACTGCGGCACTCATCTTAATCCCAATCCACTGGATCCTGGGGGCTGTGTGGAACTGTGGTCCAAAGTGTCTGTCTGTCTGTCCCCTCCCCGCCCCACCTCTCCCTGCCCTCTCTGTCTATCTCTGTTTCTATTTCTTCAAGGTTTATTTATGTGTATGAGTGTTTTCCTGCACATATGTATATGCACCATACGTGTGATGTGTCCAGTGAGGCTAGAAGAAGGCACTGGATGAGGTGCCCTGTGCTGGGAACAGAACCCATGTCCTCTGCAGGGGCAGTAAGTGCACTTAACTGCTGCTGAACCATGTAGCCAGCCCTAAAGTTTCTTCTTAATGATAGCGTTCTTCTGGGTTAGAAGTATGGCCACTTCTTAATGGTGACTTTCTTCTAAGTTAGAGCCAAGGCCACGACCGTTAGTGACTCACAAAGATGGAAGGAGAGGAAGAAAAGGCAAGTTCAACCTCATTTGAGATCTAAATTCAGAGCTCCTTGGCACTCAGGGTGGAGAGAACTCTGATTGAGACAGGAAGCCTTTTAGTAGCAATCTGGGCTCACAGCAACAGGCCCCCAGTCTTCTCCTTGGCGTAGTAGGCTGCACCGTTCCATTAGAAAGCAGCTCCAGATACCTCTGTACTATCTGGATTCTGTTACTGTCTACACTGCACACTGCTCTAGTCGCTCGGCTTAGCTATCTTGGTTCTCTACCTCCTCAATGATTCTCAGGGTGGGTTGGTCAGAGTTCTCTAGAGGGTCAGAACCCACAGGATGGATACATTATGAATAGAATTTATTAAGTCAGCTTATGTTGAAACAGTAACAACAGCTATCTCACACCTGAGAGGCTGAGAGCCAAGGGTTGCTCAGTGTTTGAAGTGGGTCCCTCAGCAGTCAGTAGCCCCATGTTGCCTGTCTCATCATGGGAAGTCTGACAACCTGGAAGTTGCTCAGTCCATAAGGTTGAGGGCTTCAGTAGTCCCAACCAGGCACCGAGGACCTAAGAGTTTCCTGGAGATCCACTGATCCTTAGTCAGTGATTAAAGCCTGGAAACGCCGGTTCTGATACCAGCAAAGGAATCATCATCATCATCATCATCATCATCATCATCATTAGCTGCAGCAGCAGCAGCAGCAGCAGCAACAGCAGGGTAAACTAACTCAGAGGCAAGAAGAGGCCAAGGAATCAAAATCTGCCACATTTCTTCTGGGCTGCTGCCAGAGGGTGCCACCCACATTTGGGAATCGGTTTCCCCACGTCTGTGAAGGCAACCAGGGACAATTCTGTAGGTGAGGCTCCCTACTCAGGTGACTAATTTGAGTCATTAAAGCCAGCCATCACACCAGGCCACTGAAAACCCAAGAACATTCTAGTTTTGCTGACACTCCAGTTGGATCTCGGCCTTCTGATTTTCCGATCCTCGTCACTCCACACGGGAAGAGGAAAGCATTTGGGGAACAAATGTAAAGGGTGACTCCAGGGAGGATTAGGCCCTGAGGTTTTGTAGTCATCTCCTGGTACCTCTTTAAAGAGCTGGGGGCCTCCGCTATGCTAATTAGCCTCATTTCACACCGTTCAAAGAATAGGTAATGATCGAGAACACGTTCCTGCCTTGAAGTACAGGTGAGACCTTCTGAGTAGAAAAAGGTCCCCATGAACTCTGCCTCAGTGTTCTTTTAACAGCTGCATGTCTCTTGGTTCAATTTAACTTGCTAAATCAGTCTGAGGCTGTGAAGAGAATGGAGCAGCAGTTTGGGACCATGGATTTGTGAAGCGGGACCCAGGAGAAACTGACTTGAGCTGGTGATAGCGGCAGTGACAGGATTGCTCCAGGAAGACAAGGGCACTGTCTCTGCCTTTGCAGTGTGTCTAGCACTTTAGACCACCATGCGTCACCTGTGATTGACTCCCAGCTCCTCAGCATCCCAGGTGGGGAGAGAAAATAATTAGGGAAACCATCTTAAATGATGACTCCAGATGTTTGGCCCACAAGGTATCTCTTTGGATATCCCAGTTCAGTTACTACACTGACTAATTATAGTCACACTCAGGGCTGCTTCTGTTTGAAATTCTAGTTCCATCTGTATCTCTGGGACTATTTAGAAGAGTATTTAAGTAGGGTTTCCTTTTATTTAATGGATTTCAGAATCAGACAAATCCTCTTATGAAAACATATTAATTAATCAAGAGGTCACTTCTCCAGAGTAAAATAAATTATTAAATCATACAAGGTGAGTATTTAAGTTTGTGCTCCCAATCCCTTCCCATGCTACTAATGTGCATATTAAACTTTTAAAGATGAATGTCTAAGTTATATTTTATGATAGAGCAGAGAGGAGGCTGCCCTGACTATTCCGTGGCCTCCTACATGAACTCATACAGCGGTGGAGTAGCAAAGGAGGACACTCAGGTGCTGGAGTTGAACAAATAAATGTATTTGTCTAAAATCCAAGGCAGTGAGGAGAAAGGAAAGAGGAGGATCCCAGCATTTCCAGAGTTACAAGAACGTCTTCAACTCATTGATCGGATGAAATACTGCCACAAGAACTAGTAGTTGACTCTGGGTGGTTTCCAGGTTCCTGAAAGGAAGTCTCTCAAGAGGAAAGGGCACTGCTGTTTCTACATCACAGGGGCATGCCAAGAGTGTCTGTGGTGACTTCAGTTACTTGTGTGTGTTTGTTCATGTGAGTGTAAGTGTCCACGCAAGTGTCTGTGCAGGTGTAGGTGTGTGTGCTTGGAGGCGAGAGGACAACTTGGCTGTCATTCCTCAGGTGCTACCCACCTTGATGGTTGAGACAGGGTCTCTCACTTGTCTGGAGTTGGTCACGGAGCCTACCATGATTGGCTCGTAAGCCCTAGGGATCTGCCTGACTCCTCTACCTCCCCAGTGCTGGGACTGCAAGCGCACAACACTGTATCTGGGGTTTTCTTTATTTTGGAGAGGTATACCATAGCTCCCATAATTCAATTCTGGCTGAAATATATACATACATATGTATGTACATATATATGCATATATGAGATATATAGGGAGAAATACGTATTTCAACAATTATATACATACATACATACATATATATATACACATACACATACACATCTCATGTTTAATGGTTATTCTTGGTTTTCAACTTGACTACATCTGGAATTAACAAAAATCTCCATGGCTGGATACAACTATGTGGGGGGATTTTTCTTAATTAAATCATTTAAAGTGTAAAGGCCCACCCTAAATCTGGGTCTTTTGAGGTGGAAGATCCACCTTAAGTTTGGAACACACCTTCTGTTAACAGCCTATCTAAAGGTCATGGAAGAAGGAAGTTTTAGCTCTTGCTGGCAAGTTCATTCCTTTACTGGCATTAGAGAGTACTTCTTCACAATTCTGGTGTATACTGAGGACCAGCTGAGACATCCAGCCTTGTGGACTGAACGACTACTGGATTCTTGGACTTTGGTAAACTAGCTGGACCACAGCCTGTTTGCACATAAAGGATATATGTAGTATGTATGTATATGTGTATATTAATTCTATCAGTTCTGGCCACGATGCACCTTGCACTACCTCTGCACTCTGTTGACAAGAAGCTCATCACCAGAAGTGGCCCCCAACTTGGAACTCCAGAATGGGGAGCCAGAATAAACTCCCGTTCTGTGTGTATCACACCATTACTGACAACAGAGAAGGACTGACCCCCATAAGGTAAAAGAAGAGAAGGACTGAGGGAAGGAAGAGGAAGAAGTGTAACCCAGGGTGGGTAGGGCGTGGTTTCACATGATCCCATCCATCCTTGATAAAATGCTAAGGTAAAACTTGGGAAAGATTAAAATTTGAAGGAAGCCAAGGGAGCAGAGGACACGGTTTCTCAGAACTTTAAAATAATTCCAGTGGAAAAGCGTAGGCAAATCTTAGGGGTACTGGGTAAGCAGATCTCTGCTGGGAAAGGGGCTCAGATCTGGGGTGCATCTCTGGGCAAGACTCCATATGGAACCCTCAGATTCACACCTCTGACTCAGCCCCTGATTTCAGGACCTCAGAGGCCTCCTGCAAAGGACAGCTTGGGAAGCTGGGGAGGCATTAAATAGAAAACAGAGGGATTGTGGATGTGGTTCAGTCAGTAAAGGGCTTGCTTAATGGACAAGCTTAATGACCCGAGTTAGGATGCCCACATACAAAAGTAGGCACAGTGGCGTAACTAAAATCTCAGCCCAGTGGGCATCGATCTCTGGAGCTCACTGGCAAGCCAGTGTTGCTGAATTGATGAGCTCCAGGTTCAAGGAGAGATACTGTCTCAAAAAACTAAGGTAGACAACAACTGAAGAAGATGTACCTAGAGTCTACAGGTACACATGTGCACACAGAAGCACACACACACACACACACACACACACACACACACACACACACACACACATACACACACACACAAATGAAATAGACAACAAAGAAATAGCCATGTTGTGTAAGGAACATGTGTGTGTGTGTGCACGCGCCTGTGTAAGGAAGTGAGTTTTGTGGTGGTCATAAGTTGCTGTGTGTAATTTTCTTTGAATTTGTGGAAATGAGAACCTAACATATAGGAGCATTTTATTTATGAGATTTGTAATTTTAATTGCCGTGTTCAGGAGGATTAACAAATGTATTTTGTATTTGACATTTAGATGCATACTTGCTGAATTTGTAAGTTTAATTCTTAGGCAGTTGGAGTGCTTTAAGAGAATGCTAACTTGGGGGAGTTTTGAGGTATTTGGCTTATATGATCTATGCTAAGTCCTGAGAAGAATTTTGTCCCTAACACTTATAAATCCTCCTGCTAGGGATTTGATGGTTTTAAGAAAAACCAGATGTATTAAATGTGTGATTATCGCTTGGAATGTTTAGGAAGAACTTAATTAGTCAAGCTTATAAGTGGTGCTTAGATTTTAAAGATTGCATTTTGATTTGCTATATTTGAGAGAGCTGTGACTAACTGAAAATATGTTAAAAAAAAAAAAAAAAAACCAAACCCTTGATGAGTTCAGAAGTGGTGTTGAGATGCTTAGGGGTGGGGCCCCATCTCACATGTAAGAGCTCCCTGAGCTTTAGTCAAAGGTCAGGAGACAGTGATGCTTAATGGGGTTGTTTCCTGATATGTAGGAAGTGCTGAGGGCCAAATAAACACTGTAGTTGGGCTGAGTGTGAAGCCAATGAAAACTCATACAGAGGCCAGAATCCATGCAAGGAACGAAATGCACTCTCCTTGAGAAGGTGGTGCTGGGAGCCATTAAGGATTGGCAGGAGGCATGTCCCACCTGCAGCCCCCAGGCATCACGCATCTATCCATAGCTGTGACTGTGGCCCCAACACAGAACCATAAACTTAATGAAAACCTTATGAATTTAAAAAAAAACAAAAACAAAAAACCTCAATTTGGCGGTTCTTAAACAGGAATCTGGCAGAAGACAATGTCATTTTACAGTGCCAGAAGGTTGAGCATGCACAGTTAATGCATGGTATGGAAGAAAGCTTTTAGTGTCTCTGCAGCGTGAGCTGTAATTATGCAGATGATGGACTTCTAGCGGAGTGTGTACGTCTCCATGGGTGGCAGTGGTGCCGAAAAGCATTTAGCCAGAGACAAGCGGCTCAATCAGGCCGACCTTAAACTGTAATCTCATCGGGGAAAGATGCTTCACCTTAGTGTTATTATACCTGGTGTGCAAGGAAGCCAAGGGGAGGCTGAGACAGAAATGGGGGTGTCTAATGGTGACAGGATAAGTCAGGGTTTATTAGAGGTCAAGGTACTAATTACCACTAATGGGGTCTCAATGGGTGTCAGTCAATGATCTGAGACATTTTCATACCTTTTACTCTCTCTTTGTGACAATATCCTATGACGTTAGGTTCTTTAAGATAGATTTTATTATTTTTTATTTCTGTGTATGTGCATGTCTGTGTATGGATTTGCATACATGAGTACCATGCCCACAGAGGTCAGAAGATCATGTCAGAGTCCCTGGAGCTGGAATTAAAGGTGGTTGTGAGCCACTGAACGTGGTGACTGGGAACTGAGCTCTGGTCCTCTGGAAGAGCAGCAAGGGTTCTTACCTGCCGAGGAATCTTCTCTCCAGCCTGGGGTTAGTTTTATTGGGTGCGTTTTATCAGCCAGTAAAGCTCAGCTAAATCCAGTGTCTTGATGATGTTTGCGTAGCTGGGGCATGGTAGAACCAGTGCTGGAACCTGTTGCCTGAGCTCTTTCATACTGAGTGCAGCTGGCTCAGTATGAAAAAAGTGTGCATTCTGAGAATCAAACCCAGTCCTGATGCTTGCCATGCCAACTCCCCATCATAGATCCAATTCTTAAAGCAGCTCATGTGCTGCCGTGAACTCATGCTGAGGTTGAGACCTTGAGGTCACAGTTGAAGTCCCTCTCCTTTCCCCGGGGTTTCTCCTCCGGGAGACTCTCCTGCTACCGCTCCCTCTGAAGTACAATTGCAGTCTTTCCTGTGGGGCCATGAGAGGGTCGTGCACTCTGTCTCCTATCCCATAGCATTCATGGGTCACTCTGTGCTGGAATGTTCCCATGTCTGAGTGCTAGACATTGAGGTAAACACTGTTTCCAAAGCCACATAGCCAGCCCTGGACTAGGCACTTAGCTGCTGTGGGCAGGGCTTGGAGGACTGGATGGAGGGTAGTTTCTGTAGGTATTGATTCAGAAGGAGGATAAAAGTAGAGTTGGGGAAAAACCTATGGGTTTGATAATAGACTAGAGAAGATAATTGACTATACAATCCCAGTATGCCTGGAGAGATTGGAGGTGTGGTGGCAATGACCAACACATTTCCAACTATAGGTCTACTCCTGTAACAGTGTATATCGGGATCATCGGGGAATGATGAGGACCCCATAGGGACTGCCAAGTGGTATGAGGAAGAGATAGGTGTAAGTTAGAACTTGTAGGTATTTTAGAATGAAGAGTCTTTGATGAAATGTGTTGTGTGCTGGCAGACAGCTCCATATAGCAGACACTTAGCAGTGTTTTTCTTTTGTTCAACATAGAACATTTTACACATGCTTTAGGATGTAGTACTCATTCATACGTTGAGCTTGGTTTTCAGATCTTCTAGTGTGTAGAGGGAGGCACAGTCAGTTTATCTATACTGAATACAGTTTAATGAATTCTTACTTTGTGCTGGGTAAGTGCTAGGAACAGGAACCATACAGGGCACCCTTGTTTGCATGGAGCTTGCAGCCAAGTGAACAGGGAGGAGTGTTAGAAAGTAGCACATTATAGACAGTTCCAGTGCTATTGGATAAAGGCTATGGAACGGGTAATGACATCTCATTTAGAACAGCAGGTCAAAATCAGTTTTAAGTAGAAGTGTTCTGAACTGAGGATATGAGTCCTATAGCACATAGTGTTGGACAGGGTCATGTCAACAGGATGGATGCTTCATTCTGGTCACCTTCTTCTAAGGATCCCATCAACAAATAAGAATAATGAAAATGGAAAGATGAAAGAGTCATGGGCAGTGAGTGAGGAAGCCCCAGGAAGGATATACTGTAAAGGTTGACACAGAGAAGGGACTTAGACCAGTAGAAGCTACCCCAACCCAGATAGGCAGATTTCAGTTGCACTCAGGGAAAGGATTTATAATGATGCAACAATCAAATTGAGCCAATTAGCAAACAGAAGAAAACATTTGAGATGTGTTTGAAACTCTGACACTCCCCGTGTCTGAAAGGTTGTGAGGTTGAATTTATTTGGAGGTAGAAAATTGTAAAGAGGGCATCTGCTGTACCTGCTGCACCTGCTGCATCTGCTGCAACTGCTGCATCTGCTTCATTTGGTATTTAGGGAAGCCTTACAGCCTCTGCTTTCAATGGCAGCTTTCCTTAGCCATCATCCAAAAAACCACCATGAGTAATTGTGTGTGAGCCCGTGGCATGCATAGGCACACAGAAGCAATGTCCATGGTCTTCAGGCTCTGAGAAGATGGAGAGTTGGTGGACAATGATAAAAGATGTTGCACCTAATTGCCTTGGCTAGGTAGGCAAAGCATCCTACTGGCAGCAGGAAGGCTGGATGAGACAATGAATTGGAAAGCATACAGAAACAAGACATCACTATCAATTTTATTAACATGAAATCTGCCTAGTTTCCAAGTAACAAATATTAATAAATCATTATGAGCATTTCCAATCCTGTGTCCTTGAACTTAATTAAAATACAAAGCTACACGTTCTTTTCTCTGTAGCCCACTCCCCTTCTGCCTCCTTCCCTTCCTTCCCCTTCTTCCCTTGGAGCCAGTAAACTTTTCCCACATTCCCAAGGGAGTGCTTTGCTTTGTTTTCAGCCTCCCATCTCCAGTGTGGTATTGGTCACACTCGATTCTCTACCTCTCTGTTGATCCCTGAAGACTGAGTGAACAGGGGCAAAGACACCAAGGTCATGGTGCCTCAACATCTGGGGGCAAAAGCCGAGGTTAGTGCTTCAACATCTGGCACAGAGCAGATGCTCAATGATGATTCTGTGGGTGGATAACTGAGGAGGAGCTCATTCACTCCCCATGTTGCCATGCTGTCCACAGCCTGTGGATGTTGTCTCTTTGCAGGTCACCGGTGCTCTCTAACTTCAAAGCCCAGTGTTCTCTATGTCCTTGACTATGATGAACACAGTCCAACACCGGTTGCTTTTCTTAACCTTTGTCCTGATGTCTCTTCTACCTCTCCATCTGCTTTTTCTCATCCTTGTGTCTAGTAGGACATTCCCGTGACTCTCAAGCCTTTCTTGGGACATGCCTATCCAAGCAGAAGGGTGTTTTCTACTTCTAGGTAGCCAGATGGCCACCACCTCTGTGTGCAGAAAACTCCCCAATCTGTGTTTTGATCCCTGACTCGTTTCTAACCCATCCCTCAATACTTGCTTATCTGGTCTTCCAGCGCATCAATGCGTCTTCACATCAAACCCCCAAATAGACTGGACGCATTCTCTTCCTACTGACCCTTCTAGTCACCCACCCCACATTTGTATGTGAACATAAATCAATTCATTCATTACATCTGTCCTCCTCCAATAAATAAGTTTGAGCGAGCTCAATGCTTTTGCTGTGCGGTTTCCTCCACCCAGAATAACCCCCTCTATACATGTGGACATAGACACATAAGTAACCCTTTCTCAGATGGTGTTGCCACCTTATGCAGCCCTCCTTGAACCATCGTGACACTAGAGAGTCCCAGAAGTTGGGAGAACACGCGACAGAGAGTAACGGGGCTGCCCCAGAAAGGAGGTAAGCACTGAACCATTCTTTAAAGACAGGGTTTCTCTGTGCAGCCCTGGCCATCCTCATGCCGCCTAGAGGTAGTCCCATTGGGCTGTTTCATTTCACTCAAAACACAACAGTCCAGAACCAGTCTGAACAGCAACCAATGCATAGATTTTATCTCACTGAAGTAACACCTGCCTCTCTCTGGGAGAGAAGCCATTGCTTCTCACAGCCTCCTGCTGCTGTGGGCCTGGTTCCTGATCCACTTCCCTGTTTGGCTTAGGTTCTGGGGTCCAGATGCCTGCCCACTCCTTAGAGTCCACTGACAAAATGCTCATTATCACCAGTCCCTGTAAACTGAAGTCCCACCTCTCAACAGCCCTCATTTTGGAAAGCCAGGAAACATCACACACACACACACACACACACACACACACACACACACACACACACACACACACACATGCACGCACGCGCACACACACACCTGTACCTTTTACACCTAACAAGATGTTTAAATTTTAAGTGTGATGCAGGCAAAATTCCTTATGCTTGTTCAAGTTTAGCTGGAGAAAGTTGAACTCACTCAGCTTTGTTTGCCTCAGAAATCTAAGCACTGCCTTCATAAAATGGGTGTTTTGGTGTTGGAGAGAGGGCTCACTGGTTAAGAGCACCTGTTGCTCTTGTAGAGAGGAGCTGGGTTTAGT